CTTCTCCTCCATTCTCCTCTCGGGATCTTGGGCACGCACGCACACACGCCCGGCATGAGTTTTAAGCCACCGGGTCCGGGACGCGAACCGCAGTCGACTACGTGGGAGTCCAGTGACATAGCCATTATGCTAACTGCTGCCCCCCCCTTTCTTTTAACTTTTTTTTTTTTTTGAGAGTGAATACATTTTATTTTTAAAATGAGGGGGGAAAATCATGTCAGCGGGTAAATGAAACAATTCCATGGAAGCTTATGTTGTGGTTAACTCTCTCGGATTAGATTCTTGACTACAACTCAAATTAACATAAAGATAAAATGTGCTGGCTCCATCCTGCTTGACTAAGGAATTGTATTCACTTCTCTCCCTTCCACTTACAGCAGAAAGGTCATTTCCTGCCCTGTCACCACTGCTTCTTTGTGTGCCAGTTCAGAACCCAGGGCCTGAGAGATCACAGAAGTGAGTGTTCTCTGCTCCTAGAGCAGCCTCTGAAGCCATGAAGGTGAAAAGTACTCATCCTGGCCAGCTTTCTCGAGAACCACAGAGGAGCTGAGGCCCAGAGCCCGACTCCAGCCCTCAGGTGCACATGTCCCCAAGTGCCCTCCCCCAGGTGGGCCTGCCCCTTCTCTGGTCACACCTACCTCAAAGATGCCCAGGCTCCTACAGGCAGGCCGGGCGGTCACCTCCAGCACACCTGCTCCCCCTCCCACTGGTCTCAGCTCAGCCCAGCCCTCCGGAGCTTTCTTTTGGAATGCTCCCACTTACCCAATGTTTTGTAGTCATCTCGAGCTTTGTTTGCTCTCAGTAGTGACTGTATTTTCACAATTTCATTATTCTGCAAAAAATTTAGACAAGTCATGACCTCCTAGAGCTCCCTCTACTCCACTGTTTTAGAGTTTAGAACATGTAAGAACCCACACTATTAAGAACTGACTCTATTTAGATGCTGTGCATTCAATTTTTTGTACTTTCTTTGGAGAAGGGGTCAGGTAAGTTAGCAAAAGTATAAGTAAGGGGCTGGCAGGTGGTGCAGTAGTTAAGGTGCTGGACTCCCATATGGCCAACCACAGTTTGAGTCCCAGGTCTGGTGGCTTGTATTCTCCCTTTCCCTTTCTTTCTGTCTCTCTCTGGTCAAACTAATAGTAATAACAACAACAAATGAAATAAATACTTCTTTAAAAAAGTATAAAAAACTGTCAGACTTTTTAAATAAAGAATTATAAAAACAGAAAAGAATTTTAGCACAGAACTTAGATGATCCAATCTATGCATACATACCCATCCTTCAACGATTCTGGGGGGAGAAAAGTCTCCTGTGGGCTCCCGTTTAAATGAATTAGTGTTACAAGAAAACTGCACATGAATAACTGGAAAAGATTTCTCTAAGATCTTTTTTCTAGGTATTACTAGCCCACGTAGTCTTCTTCTTACTCACTTTCTCTCCATTCCTGACTGACAAAGCTTCACTATTAATAAGATTTTGGAATAAAAAGCAAGTCCTCAATTATCATCCCACTGAGTTCTAAGATCTATTTTTTTTCCCCAAGTATTCATTTCCATCAGATAATAAAACCATTCAACACTAACGTTCAACATGCATTAATCCATTTTCAGCCTGGATAAAAACCTGCATGTTATTTCTCTTACATGATCCTTGAAATATTGGAGTCGTGAAAGGTAGCTCTTTCTTGCTGTTCGCATTCGGAACCAGGACTGAATCTAAAAATAAGTTAAATGGAGAAATCAAGGCAATTACCAAATGGCCTTTAATATCATCTTATGCAGTTCTTCTAAAAATAATGAAATTTTATTTGATTAAAAAAATTAACTATAGCAGCCCACAAAATAACAAATATCTAAAGCCTACTCCTTTTCATCTTCCACTTTTATTGCTTTGAGGTTTAGAACTTTACATGTTACCTCAGTCTCACTGTCTTAATCAGAGAGAAGTGAGGAAGGGTAAAGTAGCTCTGGAAAATTTGCTTTAATATCAATAATTAAAGCATTTTTTCTGAGAGTTGTAGTGATTCAGGGAATTGAATTAAATAAGTCCAGAGTTTCTTCCATCATCCTTTAAGTGCATCCAATATCCCTTAGGTTTCTACAGGAAAACATCTAACATGATCTCGAAGGACCAACTACTACCGATGGTTTTCTGAGAGATGAAGACCTATTCCATGATGAGCACAGGACATTATTGGACAGCACGATAGGTCTAGACCATGTCAATCTCTGACTTCCTAATTTAAAAGATCTTTTTAAACTAATGCCATATGACTCCAATTTTTCCCCAGCCTCACTATTCCAGTGTTCACCCAGATTCCCCAGTTGTCAACAAGTTTGTTTAGCAGTCCTTGGGCTTTCAACTCCATGACAGCGGGCCCCGCAGTGCCTCTTCTGCCTCTAGATGCAGAGCTTCCTGGGTGGGAAGCTGGGTTAGACTAGGTCAGCACCTAAATACAGGCCCCAAATTACTTCTCTTGCCTCTTGTCAGTGGTTTGTATTTGCCACAACTAAGGTTTTGTGCTGTCATGCTTGGACACTGTATTGGGTAGATTGGAAACGTCATGACACACTTTTGCACAGAAAAACAAAGAAATTATGTCATATGACTTTTCCAATGATCCAATAACTGTTATAACCAAATGTGATCAGAGGACTATAAAATAAAGCTGAGCCGCCCCTCTCCAGAAAAGGAAAAGGGTATTTACTGTTTTTAAAACATGTTCATATTTGATTCTCTTAACTACTTAAAGGACCTATTTCATTGACTTGCTTGAACATCATCAGCGCCATGAGTAACAGAGTTGATTCAAACCCAGGACTGACCTCAGGGCTCACCCAGAGCCTTTCTCTATGGCACTGTCTTCAAAAGGAAATGAGGGGGGATGTCTAAGCCAAGCACCCGATATAGTAGGAAAGGCTAATCACCTTCATGATAGAGCTGACGTTGTCCACGAACATCTGCCGCCTGCGCATGTATTCCTTCTGCTGCTTCTGTCCCTTCCAAAAAGCCTACAGGAAAGAGTTCGTGCAGAATTACTTAGGAGCAACAGTTTCCCATAGCTGATTTAGAAAGCACAAGAAGAGAGTCCATCACAGCAGGTCCTGAGTTGGGACACGGGCAGGGAAACCTCCTGCCCAAACCTCATCTGGACACTGCCTCTGGGGGCAGACATTTCGTTGAGGTATGGTACAGCACTTCACCGCTGAGACCTGTCCCAAGCACAGGGAGGCCGAGGGAGGGTGATAAGTTACATGGTTGGAGTCCAGTTTCTCACTTGAAAGCTTAATCTTACTGTGTGCTCTGGGTGACAAGAAGGAATAATAAAATGGAATTCCCCCAAAACACATAAACAGTATGAACTGAGTGCCAGTGTTATTTGGTAACAACACAAAACTCTTGAAAATAATATTAAGTATTTTTACTCCAAAAAATGGTCTTACTGTGGTCTACACTGGAAAGGAAGACTCTCTATAAACTAGTGACTCTGAATCCGTTGGATCTCTCAAAATATGAGTGTTATAACAGACCATTTATTAATTGATATTCTCCCACATAAAACTTAACAATGATTCATCAAACATAGCTTTGAGCTGGCCCCATAGTGTAGTAATGAAGGCCTATACATAAGGAGATAGATTCCCACGAGGCTGACCACAGTTTGAATCCTGGCTCTGGTGGCTCAAAAAATATGCCAGGGACTGGGCTCTATGGGCTAGTGGTTAAGGGAGTTGGCTCTCCCATGGCAACTATGTGGTTCAAATCCTGGATCTGCTGGATTGGAAAACACACTTTGCATGTGTGCATGCAGGCTTCAAATCCTGATAAGATAGAGAAATGGAGGACAAAGGATTATGGCATGATCACACCTTATCGGGGGGTGCTTTTCTTTTTTTTTCTCTCTCTATCCTCTCTGATGAGTGTACATGCCCTCTGACAAATACTTTTAAAAAGAGAAAGAAAGAAAAAAAGAAAGGAAGGAAGGAAGGAAGGAAAAATAGAACACAAGAGAAACATGCCAGGTGCATGTTTGCCAAAAATCCTTAAAAAAATGAAAGATAATAGGATTGTGACATAACCACACATCAGTGAGAGATACTTTCTGTCTCTCTCTGGCCAGAGTATGTGCCCTCTGGCCCTTAAAAAATACTTTACTTGGTTACTACCATTGGAAACAATTTTTACAGGAAATATTTCCAAAAATGGATATAAACTAGTATCTCTAGAAGGATTAAATCCATAACTGTTGTCACCCCAAGTCTCTGATCTTGTTAGAAATAAAACATTAAGCTTCTCATTAAAAAGAAAAATACAGGGACCAGCAGTTGGAGTAATGGCTATGTTGTTGGACTCCCATGTGGTTCGAGTTCCAGACCTGGTGGCTTAAACTCACACCAGGTGCGTGTGCGTGCGTGGCCAAGAGGAGAGGAGAATGGAGGAGAAGGGATTACAGCATGGCCATCCCCCTCAGGGGATGATTTCTCATTTTCTGTCTGTCTCTTTCTTTCTTTCTGGCGAGCACACAAGCTCTATAGTGAAAACCTCTACAAAAAAAAAAAAGGGAAAATACAAAAATCAAATGATTTTCGTACATTTCTTTTCATTTCTAAATATATCAATCTGCTTCATTAAAAAAAAAAGTGCATGGAGGGATAATGGTTAAGGTGCTAGACTCCCACACAACCAGCTGAGGTTCAGCTCTGGACCTGGTGGCTTGAAAATCATACCAGAGGTTCAGTTCTGGACCTGGTGGCTTGAAAATCATACCAGGTGCATGTGTGTGTGTCCAAAGTCCCAGGAGGAGAATAGAGGAGAAGGGATTGTGATGTGGCCATTCCTCCTGGGGAGTGATTTCTCACTTTCCCTCTCTTTCTGTCTCTCTCTAGTGAGTGCATGCACCCTATGGCAAAAACCTTAAAAAGAAAGGTACATGGAATTTTATGATTTCAAAAGTAATATACTTTTTTGGTAGTGGATAGAATCAAAATGATTAACTGACTATATGTTCCAGAATTTCCCTCTTGATCCAAATCACTAGAAATGACAAATGTGCTTTAAAAGACTTTTAATTTTACAGGGATGGCTGACTAATAGACACTGTAATATAGAACATTAAGTTCAATTTATCCTTTATTTTGTCTCCCCAAAAGATAACATCTTACAAATATACTTTTAAAAAGATCCACAGTAGTGCCAGAAAATGAAAAAAACATATAGATGACAATTATCAGGGTTCCCAGAAAAACAGAAAGAAACTGAAATTGGATTGAAAAAGGGAGCCACATAACAAAATTGCACAAAAATGAGGGACTATTTCTGGGATAGTTCTAAGCTTAAGAGAACACTGGATAGCAATCAGAAATTACAGAAAAAGTATTAGCCTTTTTGGAGGGAAGTTAGCAACACCAAATTGGAAATGATTTAACTTTTCATGTAGTATTCTAATTTTCAATATATCTAGCCCAGAGAGGTACAAACACATGTGCAGAAAAATCACCTATATGGATTTTTGTTGCAGCATCGTTTGTAATGTCAAGAACGTGCATGTAGCAGGATGTTCTGAAATAGAAGAGCAGCTAGATATACTGTATTGCACTCATATTGAGGGACGTATGTTACACAGCAGTTAAGAAGAATGAGGTAGACACATATACCAACTATGGACATGGTTCCATATCTTCAGGACTAGGAAGATCTCCAAGATATAATGCTAAAATGAAAAGAAAGTTGCAGCTTTTTACATGAGAGTCCTTCAAAAAGTCCACAGAAAGTATATATTATAAAAAAAAACATGAATTTCACTGTTTTTGTACCAAAATAAAGTTACACATTAATTCCGTTTTCCATGAACTTTTTGAAGTTTCCACATATTATGATGCCATGTTAACAAAAAAGAAAAACAAAATAATAAAACATATTTTTTTGTGCAAAAACGATGTATGTACCTCAACACCCAGATCTATTAGACTATACAGTGAATAAATGAAAAAGGAATGAAGTGTACCTATATACCCATCCCTACTTCTACCTAGCTACTCTCCAAAGTTAACTATTCATTTTTCATGCTGTACCCTTTCAAATATGCACACTACATGTGTATTCATCCACATCCCACCATCTGAACAAAAAGAGCTTTACCAACTGGGTGGTGTAAAATTTCTACCTCTCCACTATGCCTCCTTTGACACTATCCTAGCAGGGAGAGAAATGGCTGCTATGTTGCTACTCAGTGGGCATAAGGTCCAGGTTCTTTAAGCATTTGAGTAGCTTGTTACAATCTGGGAAGGTGGAAGTCTCCCTACTCAGCCTTTGCTGCCATGGGTGGAATGGGATCAAAATTTTTGTTTTGTTTTTGGTGTTTGGTTAGAGTAGAATGGTTATTGTCTAAAAATATTCCGTCTAGATAGACTGTCCTTTCTTGGTCCTTTGGCTAAGAGAATGAGCATGGATTGTAGCTTTTTTTTTCCCCCCCTACATTTAATGTGAGCATTTCATTGGGTCTCAAGTTTCCCTAGCCTGTCTGCCTTTTTTAGTGCAAGTCTTTCAAAGTGTTAGATTTGCTTATATATAAAATTTGGGGCTTTTAGTTGTACCTAGGTGCAGAAATATGGAAAAGTACATGCACTCTATCTCTTCAAGAGTGCAAGTAAAGCCCCTATATATATATATATATTCAATTTTCTTTATGTATCCTTGTATTAAGGGCTGGTTCTAAATAGATCACAGTTAGAGAGATGCTCCAGCTAAACACAAAACCCCAAACTGGAAATAGGTTGTCTATGAATGGCTTAATGTTAGGTCAAGTCATTTTCAAGTCTCCAAAGTTTTACAGTTTTCTTTACTCTTAAGGTCACATGGATTTATTCCTGGGTAGAGTGCAAGACTTAAAAAATAAATCAGCAGTATAAAAAGCAGTTCTGACTCCAGAGGGTCAACCGAAAAATTATCTAAGTAATTAGTTATAAATGAATACAAAATCAGTAAATTTTCATCTAAGTAACTGATTATAAATGAATATAAAATTAGTAAGTTTTCTATGCCAAAAAATAAGAAACAACATAATAAAGATGTTATTCACAACAGAAAGAAATGAGATATTTAGGAGTAAACTTAAAAAACACAGAGGAATAAAATTACAGTATTACACTGTAAGACAGATTAATAAGTGGAGAGAGATATTACTATCCAAACATCCTAGAAAGTTCATTATCGTAAAGATGCCAATATAATTAAGGAAAAATTGAAAGCTTCAATGCTTTCAGAATAAAAAAAAAAAAGAATTAGGAATGTGCCTTTAAGCTCCTAAGTGATAAAGAACTGTATAGAAAGATACATTATCGGGGGGGGGGGGTCTTTAAAACTAGAGTGTCCTAACAGTGCTTCTCAAACTATAACGTGAACCCCAAATCATTCAAGGATTTACTAGAATGCAGACTAGGATTTAGTAGTCTAGAGATTTTGCACATCTAAAAGGTTTTCAAGTGATGACAGTGCTGGCATGTGGTCCATACTTTGAGCAATCAAAATAAAAACAACCGAAGTTAAAGAATTTTTAATTGATTATTCATTCAGAAAATGCTAACAGGGGATGTGTTATAATGTGGCATTTCTTTTTCTTTTCTTTTCTTTTTTTTTGGAGAGGTTTTTGCTATAGGGCGTGTGCGCTCGCCAGAAAGACAGAGAAAGACAGAGACAGAAAGCGAGAAATCGGCCCCGTGGGGGGACGGCCACACTGCAATCTCTTCTCCTCCATTATCTTCTTGGGATCTTGGGCACACACACACACACGCGCAAGGTGTGAGTTTAAGCTACCGGGTCCGGGTTGGTTACATGGGAGTTCAGCGACATAGCCATTATACTAACTGCTGGTCCCATAATGGGGCATTTCTGAAGTGATTTTTTAAGCTGCTCTTTGATGCCACCATTCACAAAAATGGCCCAAGCATGATAGAGACTAAGAAAGTGGATTCTAATTATGGGTCAGTAGGGTTCCATTGCAATCAGACCAGAAATAAACTTATGATGGCTCTCAGTGTTTCATTTATTTTGGTGAGTATATAGTTTTAAAGCATAAATGTACAATTTGCAAATGTATATTATATATTCCATACCTTGATCCATATTGAAATACAAAATAAGATATTTGGATTAGTTCAAATTCTTTATCTCCTCTTTCAGAAATATCTAAACTTCAGAAACACTTTTAATTTCCATTAATTCAGATTCACAACTGTTCTGAATATGTCATAGTAACAGATTATATAATATCAAGCCACTCTTGCATTTGTAAAATGTCCATTCTCATTATTCTTTTCAATGCTTACTAGCACTACTGACTTTGAGGTTTTGTTATTGTGATTCATCTCACTGTCTATATAGATTTCTCTGGAACTCTTCTACATTTATGTATATTTTATCGATACTTTTCTAAATAAAAGCAATTTGGCTGGGTATAAAAACTTTTTGGGGGAGCAGGGAGAAGAAAACACTTTATATGCTAATTATATCTCTTTTTTTAAAGTATACAGGAAATTATATCAACTTTTTCCAAATTCTTTTAGGGTACATTAACAAAAATGTTTGATAACTATTCTACTAGAAATATGTAAAAGAAATATATTTTTAACTTTTACTTAAAATTAAAAATTACCTCTTGCTTGAAAAGTTAAATTAAGTTAAGCTTAATTTTAATTTTGGTTTCTCTAAACCATGCAGCCTGACTGCAACACAGTGGTCCACATCATAATTTCACTAATCAGATTAATTTTTTTCCCATAGTTATCATTAATTTTTTCCTAGTAATTGCCATGGACTTCAATGCCTAAGGACACTCCTTAAGAGAAAGGGATAAAATTAAAGAAAAATTAACTTGATAAGAGAATGAATGCATTTTTATGTTTTGCACTGGCAGTTTTCTCCTCCCAGATCCTCATTTTGGATGGCCAGTGAAGTGACATATGTGCCTGTTCATGTTAACAGAGTCTCTGGATTGATCATATTGTTCTACAGAAATCATTATCAAATATCTTAAGTTTGGAAGCAAAAATTTACCAGGATGCAGATGTTTACATAAATAGAGGAATGAATACAATGCGTCACATTGAGTAGAATGACTTGGTTCTCTTGATATTTCTCTACAATTCATTGCTTCAGTTATGCTATAAAAACTTTAATAATAAACTGAATCTCTTTCTTGCAAAAATGGTGTGAAGTTCCAGCCTTCAAACTCCTGGCACAGTGAAAACAAGTGGCAAGATGGCCTGTCCTCTCAATAAAGAGTGTTTCTGTCTCACCATCTTTCCTTACATAAGCTATGTGGTTCAAGGAATTCTGGCAATCCTCCATGTCTTCTGTCTCTGTTCAGAAAGGTTATCTGACTGTTCTCCTATGCTTGTGATAGTCTCTTGGCTTTCAGAACTGTGAGTCAAATCTAAGAATTCCACTGAGTTCCAGGAATTGAAAAGTTTGAAGTTTTCTTCCTTTTTATATACATGTTTAGGTCTAACTGCCAGAGCTGAAATGTTTTTTTTCAGCAATTGGGGACACTGATTCCTTTACATTCCTTCTTTTCTGGTATGGTAGTAATATCAGATGTGGAAAGAAAATGGGTGAATTTAGGACAATCTGAATACAAATCCTCCCTCAGAATCCCACAACAGAAACAGTACTTCTTGCTTGAAAAGTTAAATTTCTTTCATTCAGAGTCAATAGGTGGTATGGTAGTTACGGTGCTGGATCTCACATGGCCTACTGCATGGTTCAAGTTCTAGAACCGGCAGTTATAAAATAACACCAAGAATATGTGTGTGCATGCCCAAAATCCTGAGAAGAGAATGGAAGAGAAGGGATTGCAGCATATCCATCCCTTTTGGGAGAAGTGGGTAATTTCTCATTTTTCCTCCTCTTTCTTTCTATGGTAAGTACATATGCCCTGGAGCAAAAACACTGGAAAACATTAAAAAAAAAAAGAAAAAAATCTTCTTGCAACAGAAAACAAAAATCATACTTGCAAGTATACTTTCACTCATCCCCAGATGTATTTCTACATCAGTAGCATCACTTAAGGATCACTCAAGGTCATCATCTTTTCTTAGAACAAGAAAAGTTCAATCATTTTTTGTCACTCACTTTCCCCTTTGTTTAGTTTCTTCTCCCTCCTTTCTTGATTCTGGGAAGGCACATTTGTTCAATACTAACAGCTTCAACTCTTATTCTAACACCTAATTGCTCTGATATGGACTCATTCAAAACCCACACGTCATCTGTAGTGTCTGAGACAATGACAGCACCTATTTCTGATTTGCCTGTGAATCAGATGAGCAATGACTTCTAGGTGTATAGTTGTTGCTCAAGTATCTCAAAAAACCACTAAGGCAGGCCAGCTACATCCCACTCCTCAAACTCAAGGTTCAAACTGGATGTCTCATTCTGGGTTAAATTTTCTATTTAGTCTTCATCTTCTCTAGAATGTCTACACTTATGTTATAAGGCAGACAGTGTGGGACTATCGCCCTCTTTTTTTTTTTTTTTCCTGGAAATGAAACTTTCTTCTTCATTTTGCTTCAGTTGGTCTTGATGTGGAATATCCAAATTGTGATCCTATGCAAGAGTAAGAGTCTGAGCAGTGTCGGTAGTAGCAATGGCTAAAGCAACAAGAGCCTTTCTTAGCATATCACAGAGAGGGTCTGGATTTTTCATGGAGAAGCTCTGACGTCCTAGTAGTTCTCCCAAAAGAGTTCCTCTACAAGATACCATATGCTGCTCCTACTGACCATAAAACTGCTTCACTGTCATACACTGGCCCAGACAGAGCACGAGTTCTGCCAACATGAACATTTCCCCATGTGCCTGCTATCTGCAAAATCTTCTGAAGCGGTGGCTTTGGTCGCTCCTTATTGATTCATTCTGAAGAGCTCCTACAAGCACTGTGAGATGTTGAACATGGGGCAGAGGTGGAAAAATACATCATTTTCATAGTGGGGGAAACAGAAATCTATTGAAAAAACTTTTAGTCACTCCAGGAGTCCCTCCCAGCTAACTATAGATTTTTTTTTGGCATATAGAAACAGAATACATATATGCCTCATATGTCATTTGTCAAAACTACATTTTTCTTTTTCATTTTGTAAGTTTTAGTTGCATCAAGCCTATTTTTTTTTCTGAGCTAACAAAAACTTTTTTCTGTGCTAACAAATAACAGAACTTCTGTGTGTACCCATAAACTGCAGGCTCTTTTAATATGAAGTTCATGTAAACAATCTGGATATAAAGTTGACAGGAACTGTCGAAGATGCAAAAGGAGACAGAATTTCAAACCAGAAAGTCACTTAGAAGCAGATCTTTAGAAAATTATAAACAAAATAAATTCATAACAATCATCTTATTTTCTTGCCTGGTATGAGAACTTGTGACAAATTTCTGAAAGCTTTGTTTTGTTTTATGGTATGCTTCTAGTCCACATCTATAAAGTAGGCTTACCTTTAGATGTCATGCCTCCTGCACAGAAAACCCTCCAAAGAGTGAAAAGAAGGCATGGTGGGGTGACTTCATAGATTGATGGATGGCTTTTTCTTTAACCTTCTGCCTCTACTGAAGTAGAGGGAAAAGGTTCCAAACATTGTTGCTGTCTTCCCTGAAGTCCTCTCATGACTTAAGCTCTGGGTTCCTATGTTGGGGGAGTCTATACTGGTAGGCACTTCAGAATGTCTTCCAATTGTGACACTGCTCCATGCGCTGACGCTGGAGCACACAGAGATGGTCCGATGGTGTCAAGTCAGCAGACACTTAGAATTTTGTGTAAAATTGGAGACTGAGCTTCATGTATTAAGGTCTTTACCTATCATCTGATTAAAGAATAAACTAAAAAACTCATTAGCTGGCCTAGTAGAAATTCTTTGAATATTAGGTTTAGAGTAGAAATAAAAACATTCACCGTTTCTGCCTTGCCTACATCTTAACCTCTGGGAAAATTTAAACATTTGCATATCATATGCAAGACACAAAAAGACAAAAGTTTGTACTAATTTTCTGCTCTAGATACTATCACAGTTGGGTGCAAAAACTAAACGGTCAGTCCACTAATGATCATAAAAAAGTTCTTCAACTGAAAAACTTTCAAATTAGGAAATCTCATAGTTACTGGCAAAAGTAAAAACCTATCAACTGCTCAAATTCTGCTGGTAAATAACCATCACTTTGGACTCATGAAAAAAGACAAACCTATGGTCATTTGGAAGCCACTGTGGTGGTTGGTAGAAACTGCTAGGAGAATACAGAAGAGAAACTTCTAAATCTGACAAGTTCTGTTCTTGCCAACCAGGAAGTTCAGACAAGTTACGCAGGTTTAAGAACAACTTGTGAAAAAAAAAAATTGGGGGAATGGGGATTTCTCATGCAGGCATGTTAGAATGCCAGAGTACGGCATTCTAAACACTCTGGGACATGCTAAGTCTATTTTATTTCTTAGTCTTTCCATTCTTTCAGGTCAGAAGAACATAGACATTCAGATGTCTCTCAACATTCACTAACCACTAAAAACCCAAGTCAGAAAGCATCCAAGTCAGGTAGGAGGTGACACGTGGAGATCCAGGATTTTAGAGAAGCAGGATTTCACCTCTGATCTGAGGTGTTCACTTAACTCCAACTAGTTCGTGGCAGACAGATCTATGCAAGTCTACAGTGCTTCCGAATATTCTCCTCAAGACCATGGATTAAATGTCATTGATCATCAAGGTACTTCTCATCTAAGAGCCTTAATAAAGTAGATTAAGGGCCATGATTAAGCAAAAATCTGTAGTCAGACTTATTTGCGATGTTGGCAGTTGACTGTCCTATTCTCAAACATAACATTTTCAGGGGATGTGACAGTTTGCTGTAACCAGTAGCAGGTGATTCACATACCTGTATTTTGATCACATTCTCTTCTTGTTCAGACAAAAATGATTTCCTATTTTCAAACTCTTCCATAAGGAGAGGTCCTGAGCTTGTGGCTTGAAAGCGAAGGAGCAAATCGGCTGAGGCAGACCACATCTTCTCACGAATGTAATTTTCTGTGACTTTCTGAATAATGTCCTGGCAAGAGATATTTCTTATGGTTACACCTCAGACATCATGTGAAAGCAGCTCAAACTATAGCTTCTGGATATTTAATCCTTTAAAAAAAGGTATGGATGGCTCTTTTGCGTTAGGCTGAAAAGAAAAACACTGAACGAGAACCAAGGGGTTAACTAATTGGCATAGCTTCATCCTAGCAGCATGCTTTTGGAATCCTGTTTGGTGCTGAGGTATTATGAGAATGTGGTTGGATGCTCTTAGGATTTGGAGGCAGGGATGCAAGAATGATATCGACAAGGACCAGGTATCAGGCCTGAGCTCCACAGAAAGTAAAAGGGAAAAAGACGATTATTGCAAGAACGTGCATTGCCTCCTCTCTCCTTTGGACTGCTATGCTCATGAAGTCCTCAAGTTTCCCTTTCCTTCTGTGTCCCCAAGTCAGTTTAGGCACGCCTCTGCCATGAGTGGGGAGAAAACTTGACATGATGGTCTAGGCCAAAATCAAATACTTTCGAGCAGGTGGAAAAGGAAAGGGAAGGTCTATCAAGGGCAGGCAGGGCACATTAAAGGAATGAACAAAAAGAAGGGAGGAACACTTATGTGGGCTATGAAATGGGTCACTTTTATGTTCGTTGGGAGAGGCAAGCAGACTGGACTCACTTCTACAGTTGATAATTTATCCAGTGGAACTAAAATCAAAGGTTGGATAAACAGTTGAAAGTAGAATCATATAAAAGATGCAAAACAACTTTAAGAAAAAGATATATGCAAGGGCACTTCAAAAAGTGTGTTGAAAAATGGGATTAAAATATGGGCTTATTTTGGAGCAAATAAATCCTGACATCCATGCAGAGTTCTTTATCATAATCATTTTCCATGAACTTTTTGATGACACTCAATATGCATTCATTGAATAAAATCAGTAACTTCGGGTGGTTTAGAAGAAATACATATATTTTCAGTGCTGGACCCTCTACTCTGCAGTGCTTAATATCTCATCAGACTGATGTTCAATATGATATAATGTTATACCTAGGAATCTCTGAAGACCTTGTGAGCAATTCCAATTCCAATTTCTTTTCCTTTTTTTCTTTTTTTTAGTTTTTTGCCATATAGTACATGTACTTGTTGGAGAGAGACAGAGACAGAGAAAGTGAGAAATCACCCCCACGAGGATGGCCACCCTGCAATCCCTTCTCATCTGTCCACTGTCCTCGGGACTTTGGGCATGCACATGCACACACCTGGTGTAATTTTCAAGCCTCCAGGTCCAGGACTTGAACTGTAGTCGGCCATGTGGAAGTCCAGTGCCTTTACCACAACACCAGCTAGCCCCTTGATTCCAAATTTTAATTCTCTTATGATTATTCACAGTTTAGAAAAGTTTTTCAATTATGGCATATAATTTCTTTGCATTGTCCATAATTTCATTTATTCAAAAAATTAGTGTTAATAATGCATTGCTACAATGTAATTTTCCTGAAAATTGTTAAGAACTTTGAATATCCAAAATTAGTCAATAAACTATATTCTTCATTGTCTTCTTGTTACATAGAAGTTTTGGTAGCAGCGACAGACTTGAGCCTCTAAATTTCAGTAGACACTGCACTGGTAATTCTGTCCATAATACTTCTGTATTGTGATATATTTGATGTTGTTGATTTTTTTTCCTCTTTTTTTTAACAGAGATTTTTGCTATAGGGCGTGTGCGCTTGCCAGAGACACATGAGAGAGAGAAAGTGACAAATCACCTCCCAGGGGATGGCCACACCATAATCCCTTCTCCTCCATTCTCCTTTTGGGATTTAGGGCATGCAAATGTGCCTGGCATGAGCTCCAAGTTGCCAGGCCTGGGATTTGAACTGTGGCTGCCCATGTGGGAGTCTAGTGCCACAACCACTATGCCACCTGCTGGCCCCTGATGCTGTTGATTTTAATGATTCTGTAAAAACTATATTTGTATGTTCTATTTATTTTTCCTAGAATGGAACTCAATTATTGGTTGTACTTTCTCTTTAAATATATTATTATGCCTGGATCCAGCAGTAATTTATTTTTATTTTTATTTTTTTGGCTATAGGGCACATGCACTTGCCAGAGACCCAGAGAGAGAGACAGAGAAAGTGAGAAATCACCCCCACAGGAGAGATGGCTATGCTGCAATCCCTTCTCCTCTATTCCCCCTCATGATTTTGGGCATACAAGCACTTGTGCTCGGCAAGTTTCAAGCTGCTGGGTCTGGAACTCAAATCCAGGAGGCCATGTGGGAATCGAGCACCCCAACCACTATACTACCTGCTGGCCACATAATTTTCACATCTTTTGGGTCCAGCTTTCAGTTGTAAGTCCAAAACAATTGTGGACATTCATTCGAGAGTATTTCCCCCTAGAAAGCATTACTCACTTTTAAAGGACCTATGTATCTGTATTAGAATATATCTATTGAGCCACCATCTCACATTATCAATTCCAGAGCAATGGGCACATGATATAACCACTCATAGGCAAGAGCTGCAAAACAGTAGCAAGAGTACAAGAGTAGAAAAGATACTAGACTAGAAGTAAGGAGCACTGGCCCGAAACCTATGTAAGTTGCATAATTACTGTAAGTTGCTTTACCCACTCAGTGCCCCTGTTTCCTCAACTAGAGAAATGAAAGATGATAATATTTGCTCTGCCTCCACTTAGAGGATGACTTAGGGATCACAATGAGGTGACACTGTTTTGGAAAGCCAAACTCTACAAACAAAAGCTACTTGGCTATGTTGGCAGTTTTAGAAGACCTTATTTGCAGTTAGATCTTGCACGGTCTTAGTGTACTTATGGGCACACCAGTGGCCATAACTTGTTTCAGATATCTTGTTTCCAAGGCTGATTTGATTTCACATTCCTCTAATTTCACTTCCTCCCATTTCTTCATGGCCTCTCACTAACCTCCCACAAGATAAAGAACCTCACAAAGAGGGCCCTCTGGCAACATTCACCTCACCACCTGTGTATAACTAAGTCCCCTTTTGTGTTAGGAAATCTCTACCAAGTACTTAGTTCCTTATTTCCATGTTGTAAGAAAATAAATATTCAGAATTAATAAAGCCATGATCACAGAGAGGTCAAGCTATTGTTAAACTGCTCCTTTCATTCTTTTACAATCAGAGGTAGAACTAAAATATAAGTAAAGTTAAATAACCTAGAACTCAGATTGAGTTCCTTATAGCGTTGTGGTTACTTTTCTTGAGAAATACTCAGCCCTGGGTTCCTATACATGTAAAAACTTCTGAATATTTGGGAAAGAATAGGACTAAAATGGGCATGGCACATTGGGGGGGGAGATCAGTAGATACCCAGTTTCATATACAGTGAGTAAAAGCATTTGAACAAGATATTTTAACATAGAGTCTTCTAAATGGGTTTCTTCTTTCTGGATTTAACTTACTAAATATTTTGACGGCTAATTACAATGCTGTCCTTGCAACTAACACACTGTTTCTTTATTACCTAACAATAAGTTCATATAGGTACTATTTATTTATGTAGGCCTTTTGTTTTTAAAATATGGGAAGCTGGATAAATCACTCTTAGTAAGTGAAATCAGGTAGACCAAAGCTTAAATATGCGTAGAGGATTAGTTTAAAAAATACATATTTAGGGGTTAAATACCAATTCTGATTCACTATATTATGCTTAATTCTTGCTTAGTACAATATATGAACACATGGATAATTTTTATATCAATTAATCAAAAGCATGTATAAAATATACTCATTTGTGTTGCTTGCACTTACATTTGGACATGGGTGCATCTGGAGCTCTAGAAATTACATTGAACAATGGAAACATGCTAAGATGATCACCTCAGAAGCAGCCCACATTTAGTTTTCTGAAAACTTCCTTCCTTCCTTCACCCAACTCTGCCCTCTACTCCTAAAGCCATCCTGGAGATGGCTGGGATCCTGTAGCAAAGATGCTCTCACTATCATGTTGTATGAAAAAAGACACTTTGGTTGACAGGTATCATGGAAAGTTGTAGGTTTAGAAGGGGGAAAGAAATAAGACATTTGAATACTAATGACCAAGGAATTATCACCAACTGACCTTAATCATGTCAAGAGAAAACCTGAAAATTGATTTCTTAAAATACCCTACCATTCCCCAAAACTGTGAATGCTTTCTTCCTCCCATCTTCTTCCTTGGTTTTGCTATGCCAATATGGCAAACATTCTAGAAATTAGTAACAATGCAGCCAGATTCCACTGCAGTTTGTGAAGATTTTATTCCACATCCAGCCTTCAAATAAATTCCCTCCCATCACTTTCATGATTCAAAAACAGAAAAGTAATCACACTTATTTTCATATAGAATAGTTTTACACCAAACACCAACCTCCTACCTCAATTTCGTTTCCCATGAGCCATGACTCTTTAGGCAAGCATGATTCAGGTATGACCCAGGAGCTCTCTTGTGAGTCGACATTGTAGTAGTAGTCATACTTATTATCCTGCAGAGTGAGTTTGAGCCATGAACCTTCCCTAGACACTGAAGAAAAAAAGTTTGTTAAATTCCACAGAGGAACATTGATCCTTAAACTTTCGTGTTGTTTCTTCAATGTGTAAGATAATCTAATGAGTACTTTTTTTTTTTTAATTGAACATTCAAATGGTTTAAGTCAGTCATTAGAAATGATCCACCAGGGACCAGCGGATAGTGTAAACATTGTGTCACGAGACTCCCACGTAGTCAACCATGGTTTGAGTCCCAGACCTGGTGGCTTAAAACTCATACCAAGCGCATGTGCGTACGTGCCCTAAGTACTGAGAGGAGAGTGGAGAAGGGATTGTGGTGTGGCCATACCCCTGGGGGAGTGATTTCTTGTTTTCTGTCTCTCTAGAGAGCTCAATAAAAAAAGCTCCTATGAAAAAAAAAAAAAAAAAAAAAAAAGGAAGAAAAAGAAAAAAAAAAAAAAGAAATGATCCACTAAAGTGGAATGGATTCAATGTATCCAGTTGCAGCTCCCTCCTAAGTCAAAGAAAAGGGAGAAAGACAAATGTCTGTGGTTAGCTCTGGATCCCAGGTTGTTTTTTGTTAGGATGCTAGAAGTCCAAAATGGCAAAGAAAAGGAAAATCAGACATGTGGGTAGATGTCAACAATACCACAAATAGATTGGAGACCAAGGAAAATGATCCTTTTTGCTTTAAGTCTTTCAGCAGAGCCAGCAGGTGGCGTGGTGGTTAAGGCGCTAGACTCCCACATGGCCAACTGCAGCTTGCTTTCTCTTTTCCCCCTCTCTCTCTTTCTCTCTCTCTCTGGTCAAATTGAAAAAAAAATTAATAATAGGAGACCAGCAGGTGGCATGGTGGTTAAGGTGCTGGACACTCCCATACGGCTGACCACGTTTCAAGTCCAGGACCTGGTAGTTTACTCTCTCTCTCTCTCTCTCTCTGGTCAAATTAAAATGAATGAATGAATAAATAAAATGAAATAAAATAAATCTTTGAAAAACAGAATAATAATACATAAAATTAAATAATTCTTAAAAAAAAAAAGTCCTCAGCAATTTCTCTTAGAAGGAGTGACCTACAACAAATACCATGAGAGCCAATGATAAGGATTAAATGGAGCAGAAGTGACTCACATTTAGAGACAAATTTATCCAAAATACAAAATGGCTTACAGAGCACAAAGATCAACTAAAGTAGGAAAAAAAGAAAATTCCTGACTCCTCTTGCTCTACATATCACAAGAAATGAGGAAAAAATGTTGAAAGGACTTGACTGGATTAGGGGTGGGGGCATGCTAGAAAAATCTATAGTAGACATGACTTAGTAAAAAATGTCTCCTCTTTATGAACCCACGGGCTACACTTCCCATTTAGAATTCTATTTGTTTTATTTTGTTAAACAGATGAGGCTGAAGAGTAGTAGTTTCTAGCACAGAGCCCAAATATTTTTCCTAATAAAAATGTAGTTGGTTTGTTATTTAGGGGAATGAGTAATCATAAGTCTCTGAGGAAACCATAAAAGAGAAAGATTCCAGTAAGTTAAAAGGTGGTGAACCTTCTAAAAGGAGGCATATTTTCTTGGTGTCTTCCAGAGAAAATTATACCTATACATATTAATAAGATTCAAGCTGAGTTTTAAGGCAGAGTGATGCACCTAGTGGTGGACACTTCATTTTGGACAAGAATAGATGTCCTAGAACCAGAGGTGAAAGAGAAAAGAATATACTCTACCATACACACCATAAAATAATATTTATAGCTCTTTCTAGGAATATTAAGAGACAAGTCAGTCTTGATTGCCCGAAAAGTTTCTCTTATTTCTGAAAAAGAGGTTGGCAGATTTTTTCTGTATAGGGTCAAAAAGTAAATATTTTCAGCTTTGTGGGCTACAGGTCTCTGAAACAACTCCTCAACCCTGTCACTGCAGCATCAAAGCAGCTACAGATAACATATAAATTAATGAGTGTGGCCAGACTCCAGTAAAACTTTATCTATAAAAATAGGTGTCAGCACAGGGAATTCCCAGAAAAACTATTAGAATAAATGAGTTCCACAAGCTTGTAGGATATAAAACCTATCTACAAAAACTAACTATATGAAAAGATATGCCCATGCAAACAGTTGGACATAATAATGTTCATAGCAGTATCATTCAGAATGGCCAGACACGTGTGTGTGCCTGTGGGGAATCCATAGTCTATCCGTTGAAAAATGCATTAATAAAATGTGACATATCCATACAAAAGAATACTATCAACCACAAAAAGTAAAAAAGAATGGATACATGCTACAACATGTATGAACTTTGAAAAAAATTATGACAAGTAAAAACTTAGACACAAAAGGTTATGTATTATATGATTCCATTTCTATAAAATGTCCAGAGTAGGCAAAAACACAGAGACAGAAAGTAGATTAGTGGTTGCCTGAGGCTGGGGAATGGGTGGTGCACTGTGGGGACCTAATTGGTACAGAGTTTTATTTTAGTACTGCATGTACAACTTTGTGCACACACAGAAATCTCTCTACTGCACACTTTAAAAGGGCAGATTTTATGGCATGTAAATTATGTCAGTTGTGGTAGTGGGGGTGACAGACTATTGCTGTGCAATAATGGAGCCATATGGGAAGGCCCTAGGCTTAGTTCTTGGGTCTACTTGAACATGACCAGCATACCCCTCGATCTGCCTGTGATCCTGGATTATTTGAAGGCTGAGGGGAATCTTAGCATGAAAAGCTTTGCTGAAGGATCCTATTTGTCTCAAAAGAAATAAATATAAAAAAAACATTTAGATATCTACATACTGGCAATAAATTATGCCAAAATGTAACTAAGAAAACAATATTTGTAAGAGCATAAAACCAATGTAGAACTTATGAATAAATTAAAGAATTATTTAACTTTATTTATTTATTTACTTTAATTTGACAAGAGATGCAGAGAGAGAGAGAGAGAGAGAGAGAGAGAGAGAGAGAGAGAAATATCTAGAAACCAAGCTGCTGCCAGGTCAGGCAGCAGTCCATGTGGGAATCCTGTGCCCTTAACCACCACACTAACTGCTGGATCCAGAAATAAATTTAACAAAAGAAACACAAACCTTATACACTGAAAACTATAAAACATTGTTGAAAAAATTAAAGTCCTAATTAGAAGGAAAGATATACCATGTACATGGATCAAAAGATAATATTTCTAAAAAGGCAATTTTACTCAAATTGATCTGCAGATTTAACACAATTCCTAAGAACTCCCTAGGTTTATGAATTGGATACCTGGAGATATTCTGAACCCATTCACCAAAATATGGCATATGGAAAGAGGAACAGGAGTTTTAAGAGAGAGAAGATAAACTGTTTTGCCCAAAATGGATTTGAAATTATGATGGATCATGTAGTCACTCAATTCCTGCATAAATACAATTGTGCAGTTCATTCCCAATAAAGGACAAAGAGGAAGAAACTACAGAACTAATGATAAAAAGATATATATGTAACATAGGGATGTAAGAATGATCAAATATCAAGTAAGAAAGAGTGGTCAATAGCCCTTTTCACATTTTACAGACAGAAAACTTGCTGAAAAGTTGGAAATACACCAGACAAACTGAAAAGAACACACACAGGGTATTATTAGACAGACTCCCAATTGGACTATATTTTTCCCTTGTGTTCTACTTCTAAAACCATACACTGTCATAGCAGTTTCTTTAACATGAATCGTAGTATATAGATGTCCTACAATGTAGTGCTAATAAACATCAGCCTAGAAGTTGAAAGACACTCTAATCCTTGACAGTAGAACATAGTCCTCAAAGGACTAAAGGAATAATGGATTAAAATGAATTCTCCTTGAGTCTGTCATTTTCTATATTTGAAATCTCATTTGAAATCTGAAAAAATAAGTATCGAGGTGCATGATCTCAAAGGTACTTCCCAGAGCTAACACGTCATGACCTGCCATTGGATCAATTAGGGATAAATATTGCCCAAATTACTTATCTGACTATAGTAGAGAAGTTCCCTGCACTTTACTCCATGTGTTTAAAATTACTTTTTACTTACATATAATATGAGGGGCTCTTCAAAAAGTTCATGGAAATGCTTATTACAAAAAAATGCATGAATTTATCATTCTTTTTGTACCACAAAAACTCATACTTTAATTACATTTTCCCATGAACTTTTAGAAGTATGCTTGTATTATACAGTCATTTGTCTCATAAAGGATTAAATGAAGAAAATATTAATGTAAAAATTTGTTTATATCACTGGAGGAATGAACAACAAACATGATCCATTTAAGGCAAAATCCTCTCAGATACGTTCTATTATACTATGCATGTTTTGCCATGGAATTAGTCAGAGTTTTTCCACACAAAAAGAAGAAAAACATCAAAAATTTCTTTTGCCATAGGTGACAATAAATCATTTCAGAAATGTTAATCTGAAAGCAATACTTGTCTTAAAATTAGAAAAATACAGTATGACAGAAACCATATTTTAAATGAGTTAGTGTGCGCTAAGTGCTTAAAAAAAAACTTACCACCATCAGACTTGAGCTCTTTTGCCTTTGTGAGTGCATCATAGTACCTGTCAGCACATTCAGGAATGATGTCATCTGGATTCCAAATAGAAGACTTCAATACAGACAAAGTATCACTTGAATCTTTCCTCTCCAAACACCGATTAACATCAACAACTAATGTAACCCCTGGATAATGAAAAAAAAAAAGTTTCTGTTAAAGATTGGTTATGTTTTACTTACTCCAAAGGCATGCACATACATAAATCAACCTTTTAGGAATGCATTGGTATTAAACCTTTTCACTCTTATTTTTTGGAGAGGTTTTTGCTATAAGGCGTGTACGCTCGCCAGAAAGACAGATAGAAAGCAAGAAATCACCCCCCGGGGGGATGGCCACACCACAATCCCTTCTCCTCCATTCTCCTCTTGGGATCTTGGGCACGCACGCACACGTGCCCGGCATGAGTTTAAGCCACCAGGTCTGGGACTCGAACTGTGGTCAGCTACATAGGAATTCAGAGACATAGCCATTATGCTGGGACCATATTGCTGGTTCCAACCTTTTCACTCTTTGAAAGCATGTTCCACATATGTCCAAGTAAATTAATAACTCACCTACCAGTTTAGGTTTTATGAAGAATAAGATTCCATAAGAGCATGGTTTATTTAAAAAATTGCAATATTTACTGGCTGCACTTGTGTGGGATCAAGGCTCAAAGTTTTGTTTGCTTAAGTAATATATTAAATGGAGTGAATACACCCCAGCAGTAGGTATGCAGGCCTGATCATGAATCAATATTTGAAAACCAGGTTTATGGAAACATTCATTCATTTGTTCCTTTAGGTATTTTGCCATAGGAGGCATACACTCATTGGAGAGAGACAGAGAGAGGGAAAGTGAGAAATCACACCCTGGGGATATAGCCAGACTGCAATGCCTTCTCCTCCATTCTCTTCTTGGGATTTTGATCATGCACGCACATGCACCTGGCATGATTTTCAAGCTCCGCCCCCTCCCAGTTCAGTACTCGAATCACTTTCAGCTATGTGGGAATCCAGCACCTTAACCACCATGCCACCTGCCAGCCACCAATATATAGTTATGTTCTTAATCGCTGAGTATTGATGTACAAGGCACTGGTCCACAGGTCGATTTCCACATACCTGAAGCTAATTCCTTTATGGACCAACTCTCATCTTAATAGAACCATTTTCCATGAAAATGTAAAACATGCCTTACAGAAAATCCTAACAGAACAATCTCTATCTTCCTCTTCATTTTAGCTACAGTCCTTGGTATACAGTAATGTTTGCTGTGAGCTGCCACTGTGCTGCAATAAAGTAGGTAATATTTTTAAGGACTATGAAGGTGTTTTGGTTATTTGTTCCTGCATTAAATGGCTTAAAACTCCCATTATTTTTAGATTTTCCCTCTTTCTTTGTTGTCAGCTATTGCTTCTACTAACACTTGTATGTCTGCTTATGGCAGCCCAAACACTTTATTGTCACATAATTCGTGGCTTCTGAAGCATTCGGTCAAAAGAGAAAAAGCCAATGATGTCAGAATTATGCCTAGGAAAAGAATAAACAGGCTCAAAGTGTCTGTCCAAGGAGTCTCCAGAGAGTACAGTGAATCAGCTGCAATGCACAGGCTTTGAGACATTTATTTAGACTGTTGCTTAATCTGTGAGTTGTGGTTAAGTTCCAGATAGCTGAGAATGTCAGATCAATGAACTCCAGAAAGTCAGGTATATTTCTGCAAAGGAACAAATTAAGAACCCTCCCATAAATCTGCTAAGAGAGTAAAAAAAACTGTATATTTTACATCTTACACCATACTTACACTGTATATTTTACATCTTACACCAAAGAGTTCTGTTTTTTTTTTTTTTGAGAGGTTTTTGCTATAGGGCACGTGCACTCGCCAGACAGACAGAGAGAGACAGAGAGACAGAAAGCGAGAAATCACCCCCCACGGGGGATGGCCATGCCGCAATCCCTTCTCCTCCACTCTCCTCTTGGGATCTTGGGCACGCACGCACATGTGCCCAGCGTGAGTTTAAGTCTCTGAGTCCGGGACTCGAACTGCAGTTGACTACGTGGGAGTCCAGAGACTAGCCATTACGCTAACTGCTGGTCCCCAAAGAGTTCTTTTTAAGGCCTGTGTTCTCCACTGCAAAAATTGGATCTTTGGGGGAGGGGATGAAAAAAATCAGTTTATGTGTAAAATACCAATCAACATTTGTACACAAACAGATACATAATATATCTTGCTATTAAATCTCAGGATGAGGAATGACCTGCAGAAAATGTGTATGAAGGTTCTTTAGGGTACAATAATGAAGAAAAGGTTGAGAAACACAGCTAAGGAGTCAAAAGTAAGACAGTAAGATAGCTAGTGAAAATGACCACTGGGCCAAAACAAGGGAGACTTGAATTACTCTGCTCTTTTAAACCTTGCCTGTGGTAACATACATGGGCCAACATATTTCCTTTTATCAACTGATCTGGCAGAGGGTTTAATGCTTGTAGCATGTGATCAGAATGCAAAGAATGAAGACTGCCTTTTAAAATAAGACTAAATTCCTATTGGAAACTCAGAAAATTCTCATCTCAATGTCAGAATATAAGTGGTTTTAATTTTGATAAAATCTTTTTCTTCTTATGTATCAAAAAATATATATCAACTCTCCCATGGGACAGGATAGAGGGAGAATATGGGATTTTTAGATGTGCAAGTACAGAGTGTAAAATCACACACACTGAAGAAAATTTCCCATTGTCATAGACAACAGAACCATAAGTCTCAATGTGAAAAATGAAACCAACATTTGCAGGCCAAATAAGAATAAATAAAAGTAGAATAACTTCTAAATTGATTTAATCTCTAAGAGAAAAATCATAATCATTCAATACTATTTGAATGTCATTACAATCTAATTTCTCAAAACCATCTCTTTTGATTGTAATTGCCTTCATTTTATATTTAAACGTAAATTTCTTAAGTGCACGTCTCAACTTCATTATTTTTTTGGTAAGTATTAAATGCTGGAAAGAAAAGATTTACAAGTTCTTAAGGGTAAAAGAGTTCAGATTATAAAAATACTTTTTTTTCCCCAAGCTAAGGAAATAAAAACCAGATGCTTCTAAAGCCTAAAAGCACATGTGTTGAGCAAGACTAGGGCATCTCACAGCATCCTACATCTGACGGAACAAAAGAGATTCTAATCATTTTAATTTATGAAGGGTATTCATATATAAAGAGTTAGTATATTAATTTAGAAGCTATTTCAGATTGTCATGTGAATTTTCATAATGTTCCTCCTTGATAACAGATGCTTACGATATCTATATCTATCTATATCTATACCTATATCTAATCTATATATATCATGTTAGCCAATGTAGGAATCCTGCAAGTTGCTAAGTATGTCTATTTCTATTATGCACTCTGGAACTGTGGAAAAAACCACAACTTGGGTTTGGGGACCCACTGGGTCTACTGTGAGATGAGCCTGCATTAAAATTCCATCGATCATCAAACCTTCATAAGATCCCAACTCTGACTGCTGGGTTATAGTGCCATTTCAGGTCTCTCAAAATTAGTATCAGTTCAGAACCAGTAACCAATAACCCCCCAAATCTGATTACATCATTTTCCTCAAACACAGTCATTCTGTTAAAAGGCCATACATCCCTTTGGGGAAGGCTCTGGGAGAAAGAGAAACTGTATAAAATTTTGGTAGTGTAGAAAGACCTTCCTCAAGGGGACCCAAACTTTCCTTCATTCAAGGGGTCCTGGGTTTATAAACTGGCTCTAGTTGGAAATCAACTGAGGGGCATGATTCTCTGCTTTTATGGCTCATCTTAGACTTTTTTGCTCATTTGACCTAGAACTCTCCCATGTGCGCAAATTAAGTAAGAATGATAGCAGACTAACCGATTTCACTTTGAGGAGCATCACAAACAACTAGCCAACTCCAATGATCTCTCTTTGACTCTGCTGTCCATTACAGTAATCTTGTCCACCTACTTTGGTAATTAAGTATTGACACCAGCCCCTTGCTGGCCTGCTCTACAAATTTTAGACTTTCCAGACTATACAATCTACTGGGCCAATTTCTTAAAATAAAGATCTATGCATTGTCTCTCTCCCTTTCCCTCTATATGTATATGTATGTGTGTGTATATATCTATTTATCTATTGACTGATAGATTTAGCCTATCAGTTCTGTTTTTCTAGAAATCCCTGAATAACAGCAATAGAGGGTATGGAAAGGAGAATAGGCATCTATTAAGCAGAGAACAGCTAGTTTTCGAAGGATCAAGAAAAAAGTGTAGTTGACTCATTTATAAATTTGAGAAGGTTGGCCCTGTGGCCTGGTGATCAAAGGAACTAGATCACATATGGTTGACTGTGCAGTTCAAACACAGCCCTGGTGGCCTGAGAAACATGCTAGGTGAGTGTGCATGTGTGCCCTAAATCCTGACAGGATGGAGAAATGGAGACGGGATTGTGGTGTGACCACGCCCCATTAGGAGGTGTTTTCTCCCTTCTCCTCTCATTTTCTCTCTGTCTCTCTAACTCTGGCAAGCACATATGCCCTGTGGCAACTAAATGAAAAAAATAATGGAGAGATTAGAAAACACCTTTTTACTTTTTGGATTTTGTTTGGCAACACTGTCAAATTTTGTTGACAATAGCACCTAATCATTGCAATAGGGCAACCAACTAATCTTTGTTTGTATAAATGTGTTCATGAACAAAACTTGGTGAGAGTCTAAATTTCTCCAGGAATTAAAAATGATATGACTTCAGGCACATGTCCAAATACAAGCAAGGTAGGTTTGGTGAGCAAAAGCAGGCAAGTGCTTACATTGTTTTGCCTTGTCTTTGTCAGCGTTGGCCTCATCGATGGCTTGCTGTATCTCATCCAGCCAAAGAACTTTAGAGACACTCTCCGGGTCCTGGGATAAATGTCATAGAACAAAAGGGAGAACAGTGAATAGTGATGAAAGAGGCTTTATAACTGCACTTCAGGAGTCATTTTATCCTAATATCTACAAATTTATACTTAGTAACTACTAAACATTGCTATATACTGTATAAGCTCATAATGAAATGGACCCCAAGTTCAATCCTTGCTCCCTTCGACCCTGCTGCCCTTCAGTCCAGCCAACCATCGTCAGCTGGACAGCTGTACTGGGCTTCTGCCTCCTCTTGCTGTTTCCAACTTTCTCTTCCACAGTGGTCCTCCCTCTACAGAGTGCCAGAACAGCTCTTCATGGTGGCTATCTCACCACACCACTCCTCTCTTCCACTGTCCTGAAGGTTTAGCTCTGATGATCTGGCCCTGCCTACCTCTCTGGCTTCACCTTACATTCCTCTACTTTCTTCTTCCCAGTTCCACAACTTCACGACAGCCTCCTTTATACCACGATGCTCCACTCTAGCCATGTACCTGCCTTTTTTGTTTGTTTTATAATTTAGGCCTTAATTTATATGCTACCTCTTCCAAAAAGCCTCCTCTGGCTAATCTAGTCAAATAGTCTCTCTCAATCACTCCATAACTGTGGTTCCCAAACTACGTACCAAGGTGCCCCAGGGTTCTATATGATAGTTTAAATTTGAGGAAAACATAAGGATACTTGACATTTATCAGATGCAGAAACAAAAATAAAAGGAAACAAAAATATGGTGATTATACTCAAGGAGTGAATACTCTAGTAGAAGACACAGATGTGTTAAGAAATAGAATTATAGTACAATGTGATCAGAGCAATACAAGTTGTAGATAAATGTTTTAGAAATAGGCAAGAAATGAGGACCAGCAGATGCCATAATGGTTATGCCACTGGACTCCCAAGTAGTCAACTGTCGTTCAAGTCCCAGACCTGGCATTTTAAACCTCATGCCAGGTGAGTGTATGTGTGTGCCCAAAATCCTCAGAGGAGAATGGAGAAGGGATTGCAGCGTGGCCATCCTCCCT